CCTCATAGCAAAGTGGGACACCCATTTCCATCTTATTGTCCTGCACAGTGAGATAAAGTCATCTCCACATGCAGATTTTTAAGTTTACTAGCAACACTAGACGCAGGGTCCTCAAACTATTGTCCATGGCCACATGCGCCCCACTGAGGACATTTATCGCTACCCGCCCGCAGGGTGTTTTCCGCGCTGCCAGTCCTGCTTAGCAGCTGACTCATCCCGGGCTCACAGTGCGCATGTGTGGAATGTGTGCGCACTCTCCAATGGCCCTCCCGACGGTCTGAGGGACAGTGAACTGGCCCCTGTTTAAAAAGTTTGAGGATCCCTGCTAGAGTCATTTTGAGCTGGAAGTAGAGAGAGAAGAAAGTTAGGTAACTGCTTCCAGACTCAGAACTTAACAGCAAGTATGCCATATCTAACTCAAATTTTAATCACAAAACTTTAAATTCACTTGAACATCATCCTTATCAGTTGGGATTCAAAGCTACCTGAGGACTATAAACAAAATGTAATGAATGCCGGTGAGAGGTGCATAAACGCTGAGAGACTCCTGGTGGGGTGCTGCAGAAAGCGCTGCCCTACGATGTCTGTTCTGATTTAACATCTTCATTTTAAGCCAAATAGAACAGACAGCGCACTGATGAAATTCACAGATGGTACTCATTTGGGAATATTATGAATACCAGGGATATCAGAGAAATGATTACAAAAGGACCTAGAGAAGGAATAACAATGAGACTTGACTTTGAAAATGCAAAGAGGATGGTCAGAGTGTAAAAAAAGAAATCTTCAACATTTAAATAGCAGGGAGAAAACTGGAAGTCAGTGTTGAAAGTGACACCAAGTTGGATAATGGAGTAAATGTAAAAATGGGCTTTTGAAATACAGCATAAATTACTAGTATCTTTCTTAATCTTCTCTGATCCTCAAGGAATTATATATCCTTACTATGGCTCCATATCTTTAGCTTGTCACATTGTTTTTGTAAATTGCCATTGATTTATCTGTCTTTCCCCTTGGACTCTAAGCTTCTTGAGCACAGGGATTGGCTCCATTCATCGTGTAAACCTTGAGGCTGTCTCAGTGACTGGCACAAGGTAGGTACAGGGTGAATATTCTGGAAGTAAAATGAACTACTTCCAACAGCATCTCTTTGTAGAGGATGCAATGGTGAAGAGTTATCAGGTAACCATTTGATTTCAGAACTGGGATAATTAAAAGAGAGAGAGGGAGGTTATGAAGGATTGGTAATAACAATACTTTCACTTGTATAGATTTTTCACAATTATTGTTTAAAGAGATAAATATAATGACTTAACTCTTATTTAAAGGGACAGAAGGGATGAATTCTTTAATATGGAAATAAGCATTTGAGAATTGTAGCTGTTCTCTCAATCTGATTTGTAGAAGAATATTTATGTCAGTTTGAGCATCGTATTAACATCAAGGCATGTTTGCCTAGTGTGTGGTAAGATACAGCAAAATCCAAAAGTTTATAATAGCAGTTCTTCAAGTATGATTTACAAAACTCTTTAAGGATTCTGTGAGATCAAAAGTATTCTTCATAACTATACTAAGATCTTATTTGTCTCTTTTACTCTCATTCTCTGAGTGTACAGTAGACTGTGCCTGAGCTAAATAACATGTATATATTATATAACCCAATGATTAATGGGATGTTTGCTTGTATATTCTTGTGCTTAATTTTTTCACAGCTTGAACTTCTAATACAGTAAACATTCATAGATATCATGCATACAAAAAGAGCTTTTGGGGATCATTATTAATTTTTAATAATGTAAAAGCAGTCCTGTGACCAAAAAGTTGAAACTCCTGGCTTAGAACTCTGACTTTGTAGTCAAACATAGATTAAAACCCTCATTTCACTAATTTTCAGTTATTTACCTTTTCTTGGCCTTCATTCCTGGGAATAAGAATAATATTTACTCATGAGTTGTTGTAAGGATTTAAATAAGAAAACATGACAAAGGACATAGCTCAGTCCTGAGTACACAGTCAAGGCTTAATAAATGCTTTATATCGTGGTAAAGCTTGATAGCACGTGACTTCCAAGAACCTTTCTATGACCCTTTGAAAACTAGTTTCCTTGCAGTACCTGATTCATCCTCCAAGGAGAGAGAGAGAGGAGATGGGTGAGAGCACAGAGTCTTCATTCCTCTCCTTGAATCTAAGAGAAATCAATGATTCTGCTGCCTCTGCCTTCTGGAGGGCATGGGTTCAAAACCACGCTGAGTTGCTCTTGTGTGTAAATCAGAACATGAGACAGTGATGTCTCCCGCTGGTGGTCAGGGCAGAAAAGGTCATCAGTTTCAAGCAGGACTGCAAAGGGTCTCTGTGCTTCTCAGCAATGCCTTGACAGGGCAAATCCCAGCCCTGACAACAGCCCCACGTGGAGGTGTGGAGGATCACCTGCTTTCTTTATTACAGAAGTCTGGCTCCTAAGGACTATTGCATTCAACATAGTAGACAATAGAACTATTATGAATCATAGAGTAATCAGATTACATTTCTACCATACTTCCCAATGAACACTTCCGTAGCCAGACCAATAACATCAGAGCTGGAAGATCTCGGTGATTACTGGAGCTAAAGCCCCTGCTATAGAGATGACATGAAGAAAAGGGACCCAGAAATAAAGTGACTTTCCAAGATTATACAAATAATGAAAGAACCAGGGTCTTATTAAAATTTTTGATAACATGATGTACAGAGTCGAGATTATCTATTATATCCAAACTGCAGATGAGAGAACTGAGACTTAGATTTAACTATTTCCCCAGAGTTACCTGCTGAATAATAGCACAGCCAGGTTCAACCAGGTCATCTAACAGGACTTCAACTACTTTATCTGCAAAATTACTGTCATATTCCTGGATCTCCCAGATCCGGAAAACAACTATGAGGAATAATGATTCAGGAAACACTGGTAGTAGTACATGTCCTTCCTTCTCCCATCAGACGGTTTAGTCCTGCTCTACCCTTACATGGCCCTGAGCTGTCTTGAGTTACAGTGTTTCCTGGTAAGAACTCCATTGTCCCTGGAGAGAATGTGTATTCATGGGAGATGCTGATACTGCGAAAACTAGTCTCCTTAGGCACAGCTGGTGACTCTGATCAAGGAGCACCGAAGGCTCTACCTTTTTCCTGCTGTGGTGGAATCCTCCCATACACATTCATTTTGTTACACTTGTAAAACTTAAAATGGAAATGTCATTTGGCAGGGTAATGCATTAACTTTAACATCATAACTGGCTTTTCATATGAAGGTAGATTCCCTCATACTGAGGTCAGGGAAGAATAGGAAACATGAAAGCTATCACAGTAAGCAGCTAGAGTGCGTTGGGCATCAAGGGTTGTCTTAGTGCATGCAATTCCTTGATATCTGATCTTTTAGAGATATTCTTTGATTTCCAAAGCTACCAAAGCTGACTTGTTTGTATCCTTGTCCACAGGTCCTTTTACATAGATTTATCCCTTTTACTAGGGTCTATAACATACTAGTTATTGACCCTTCAGTCTTGGTTCTTCCTGTTCATCAACCAGCCAGACAGCCCATTTGTACTGCCCGGAGGTCAATGCATATCCATACCCTGGCCAGCTTTCCTCCATATCAAGTGTGTGCCCTGGATTGTAGCATACCGCCTGCATCTTTGCCCACTAGGAGGGCTCCTGGCAGTAGCAAGCCATGCCTACACAGCACCGATATGTCCTGTTGACACATCTTGAACTGTGTCTCAATTCCACAGCAGCAGGAATGATGGAGGATTTGCTGCAGCTCAACAAGAGAGCTGGTGATGCCGGCAGACAAGGTAGTGGCAACTGTAGCCATTAGGACAACAATGGCAGCTGGGAGACAGGCGAAGTTAAGTAAATCTGAACAGGTACATAAACTGGGACTTATACAAGTAGTATGCAGTGCTTTACAAAACTGCACACAGAGCAAGCCCTACTAATATCTTAAGGATCCAGAATTCTGTAGAAACACATTTGGGATGCACTATTTATAAGCTTTTTTCTGTTTTACAAGTACTGAACAAGGTTGAACTATATAGATGAATTAGTAAGTATCTTCCTGATATTGAAAAAAATATTTTCATTCTTATTTGAAGCCCCGATTGATGATCCATAGAGCATAGGAGAAACATTCATGAACATGGGGCTTGGTTCAATGCGTTCTTCTGCCACTTGTAAATTCTGTGACCTTGAGTAAGTTAATTAACCTTTTGGACTTCAGTTTCCTCATTTCTATAGTGCAGTGCAGATGATAATGGCTATACCATAGGATTTTGGATATGAACTTATTAAATGGCCACTCTTATCATCATGATTGCCAGTTAGACGGTTAACTACTCCATTAGTCGAGCTAACTAGGTTATGCTACAATAACAAATCAATCTCAAAATCCAATGGTTTTGCACAAGAAAGATTTGTTTTTCCCTTGTATTACACATCCATTATGGGTTAATGAGGGCCGCACTCAGGAACCCAAGCTAACAGTCCCCCCATGTTATAACTGAATCATCTGGGGTTCCCAGAAGAGGAAGAGACTGCTGGAGATACTTGCGCCAGCAATTAAAACCTTTGGCCCAGAAATGACACATGTCACTTCAGCTCACAGGCTAGTGGCTAGAACTATCCTCATGGACTCAGCTAATTTCATAGTGCCTGCATATAGTGGAAGCTCCACGTATGTTTGTTGAATAAAATAAATAAAGGAATAAGCCAATGAATAATAATTTAACAATAATTTTTAATAATGTTTAATAATAATTTAACACAGCATTATGTCGATATACCCCAAAACTGTGATTTATGCACATATACATGTAGTCATTTCATGTTAAATGACTAAACAGATAAAACTAGGTAGGTGTACACTTGGCTGTGTGGATACTGATAAAATTCATTTTTATAATGTAACATTTTAAATCGTTTTAAATCGTTTAAATGTAATAAAACATTTTAAATCGTTCTTTTCTGTTTCTTTGCACCATCAGTTTAGAGAGGATAATTCACAAGCCCCGAAGTCTTGCATTCAGTTTGCCGCATTTAAAAACTATTCAGAGGAATTCGAAACGACATTAGGAGTCTCCATCATGGGTTCATGGATCAGTTAATGTGAGCTCACTTTCAAGTCCGAATCTAAAAGTCCAGGTACATCTTAACTCTGAACCCTTTGAAGTTTCCCCATCCTCATTTAATGTAATAATGTCATCTACATGTTCAGAACTCCTTTGAGGGGCAGTCTAGGGGAAAATGGCACGCAGAGGGAAAGATGAACTGCTCTCAGGAGTGAAATCTATCTTGTACGTGCATTTATCTTGGGCAGACACTGTTGTTGAAACCAAAGATAATCACAGCCAGTTCTGTGACATTAACCTGCTTAGTTACTCCTGAATAAAAACAGGAATGAAAATGAGGGCAAAGGGGAGCAGTGACTATAAGGATTATTTTATTTCTATGCTAACACTGTTTCATCCTGCCCGTAGGAAAATGGAACGTATGTGTCAGAAGCTCATGTTGATTTCTCGAGTTATAATTAATATACTTGGGCTGTTGTTACATATAAAAGATTAGAATGCTGAATGCTCCACGTACCCTAACAATGCAGCCAGATTACCACTTAATGCTCAGAAAAGATTTTGCCATTACCGTAAGCTCCGTGGCTTTATTCAGAGGCAATGCTCACTCATTTTGTTTTCCTTGTCCTTCACCATATTCTAAATAGGTAAAAAGGTGAACATATTAATAGGCTTAGTATATCCCCCTCCACCCCCGCCCCCAAATGGGAAGAATAACATCTAGCCTAGGAAAAGATAAAACAGAAGAAAACTCAGGAAAATAAAGGGGAGAGGCATGAGCCTTGAGGAGGGGGGAAAAAGGGAGGCTGGAAAATAGAATTTACATAATGAGCAAAGGAAAAAGGTTAAAGCCTTTTTTTTATTCGCATACTGGCTCTTCTTAAGAATGCCTCAAGGATTAGAAGAGGCATTAGTCATATTCATACCGAACATGAGAATAGCAGCCTTAGGATATTCCTCCTTCTTATTCCTCAAGAAATAAGCAATTATTTCTTATCTATGGGAGAAATCATTAAGAAGGGTAGTGTACAATTTTAGAAAAGAACCCCCTAAAACAAAAACAAAAATACCCCCAAAGATCCTGAGGAAGTGATGTTTTCCACTTTAAACATCGAGCAGGGCTCTGTTATTATGAAGCAGTCCTGTGAGGTAATTTTAAAATCTTTTGACTTCTTTCTTCCATAGTCTCCCACTTCAAATAAGAAGCAGTTGCCTACAACAAAATGACAGTTATCAAAAACTAAACAAAATGGAAGTTGTTTGCGGAACAGTCGATCTGTTCAGGCAGACACTGACTACAACAGACAAAAGGAAGCTAAGAAATCTCAAATACTGTAGTTATGTTTTGTGGGGTGAACAGCCCAAGTATTTCTCTTCCCTCTGACAGTGGTGTGTATATTATCACTGTGGTTTTAATATTGGGTCCGGGACGTGTTTCTTAGCTTCTCTGATGGACTCAAATGTATGTCCCTTTTGTGTTCACATGGTAACGTGTATCTCTGCTTTGTAACATGACCCCTGAAATTTTACATTTGCTTGTATGATTACTGTAGTAAAGTTTGTCTCCTCTATTTACTTGGTTCCTTGAGGACAGGAGACTTGCCACTTCTTGGTTCACCACTGTGTCCTCCTCTCCTAACACAGGTCCTAGTGGGTGGCAGGCATGCAGTCAACATGTGTTGGATGAATGGATTAATGAAGGTGAATAAAACTGTTAATTAGTACAAGTTAAAATCTCAGACCCTGACTGCCTCTATTTCCCTCTTCAACTCTCTTACTTTGGTTCACCACATACTTATTCTCCAAGCTCTTTACCCAGAGATTTTGTCACCAATAACTTTTTTTATATATGTAAATTTCATATTTTAGAGCAGTTTTAGATTTAGAGAAAATTTGCAAATATAGTACAAAGAGTTCCCATATACTTAAATCCAGTTTTCCTCATTACTAACATTTGACTTTCGTATTCATTACAATTAATGAGCCAATATTTATGCCTCATTTTTAACTAAAGTTCATACTTTATTCAGATTTCCTCAGTAAAACGACTTAATGTTGCTTTTCTGTTCCAGGATCCCACTCAAGATACCACATCACGTTTAATTACAATATCTCCTCAGGGCCTTCTTGGCTGTGACAATTTCTCAGACTCTCCTTGTTTTCGATGACTGCGACAATTTTGAGGAATGCTGGTCAGATATTCCCTAGAATGTCTCTCCAGTGGGTTTTGTCTGAAGCTTTTCTCATGGTTAGATTGGGGTTACCGGTTTGGGGAAGGAAAACCAGAGAGGAGGAGCGGTATTTTCATGATGTCATATCATGGGTACGTGCTGTCATGGCATCACTACTGCCGTTGACCTTGACCACCTGGCTGAGGCAGTGTCTGTCGGGTTTCTCCGCTGTGTGCAGCAACACTTAAGGGATGGGTGTCAAGCTCCACATCCTTGAGATTTTCATAAATTACTTGTAATTCTTCTGCACTGGAGATTTTATTATTCTCTCTCATTTATTTCTTTATTTATTCAATTCTTTATTTATATCATGGATATTTATTTTATTAATAAATTTAAGGTTATCATCCAATACTACTTGATTTATTTTTTTGGTCAAATTGTTCCAACTTTGGCGACTGGAAACTCCTTCAGTTGGCTCCTGTGTCCCTTTGACATACCTCCCACAATTCTGAGGTTTTTAATCTCCTTTGAGCACTTACTTACTCTATGGTGCTAAAAGATGCTCCAGGCTATTCTTGTACATTTCCTGCCCCAAGACCTAAAATCAGTCATTTCTTTTAAAAGCCTGCTATAGTTTGAATGATGGTATCCCCTCGAAAATTTATGTTAAAATTTAGTCCCCAGTGAACAGTATTAGTAGGTGTGGCCTCTGGGAGGTGACACCCTTTTAATGAGCTGGAGGTCAATGGGAGTGCTCTCTTGCCTTCCACTTTCTGTCTTCCACCACACGAAGACACAGCAACAAGGCGCCATCTTGAAAGCAGAGAGAAGCCCTCACCACATGCCAAGGCTCATGCCTTGATCTTGGGCGTCCAGCTTTTAGAACTGTAAGAAAAAAAAAAAATCTTCTCTTGTTTATAAATTACCCAGTCTAAGGTATTTTGTGATAGCAGAACAAATGACTAAGACAGAGTCTTGGTTCCCTTTATTGGAAAATGATATTAAAAATGACCATCTGGGCAATAGGTGTATTTGTGCTACTGGAGTGTTATCTCTAAGCTCTCTCAGCTGAAAGAGCAAGGAAATATATGTGTGTGTAGATTTATAGATCTACATGTATCTATAGATATTTCCATATGTCCATATGGAAATTACCTGTCTATATGCATCAAGCTAAACATGAGTTGATACTGATGTCTCTAATTCTAGTCCATCACAACATGGATTAATCTGGCCTCCTCCCCTGCTCTTCTGTAAACTCCCACTCCAACAGTGAGAAACCTGGCTCCCACATTCACCATCCCTTTACTTAAATGTTCAATTCCAACACATAGGTATGGCAGTATCAGAATTTTGCAATCCATACTTCTGTGCGATACAAATTCATCAGCCAGAATACATGCTTATTATGTACAGTTTATTTTGCCTTTAGTTTCCTAGACTCCATTCATTTCCAAATTTACTTAAGTTAGCACCTTTCTCCTCCTACTCCCCATCCTGGCCAACACCTTTCAGTGAGGATGTTTCCTGCATTTGGAATACAGTCAGATTGTTTCATCACATTCTGCATTCCATCCCAGCATTCCCAGATCTCTTAAATAAATTTTTTTCAATTTGTATATGTTAAAAATTACCCTTTTTGCTGTAAAATTCAGTGGGTTTTGATAATTGCATAATGCTGGGTATTCACAATTATCATATCATACTGAATAGTTAATACTAAAAATACTCTGTCTTTAACCTCTTCAATTCTCCCTTCCCTTCCCGCAAAACCATGCCACTGCTGATTATTTTTTTTAACCATTGCTAGACTTTTGCCTTTTCCAGAATGTCATATAATTGAAATTATACAATATTTAGTCTTCTTAGACTTCTTTCACTTCTTTCACCGGCTTCTTTCACTTAACAAGAAGCATTTAAGATTCATCCATGTCTTTTCATGGCTTGATAGCTCATTTCTTTTTATCACTGGGTAATATTCCACTGTATGGATGTACCATAGTATGTTTATTCATTCACTTTTTTTATTGAAGGACACTCTAGTTCCTTCTGGTTTTTGTCTATATGAATAAAATTGCTATAAACATTCATATGCAGGTTTTTGTATTGACGTAAGTTTTCCAATCAGTTGGGTAAATACCAATTGCTACATAGTATCTTCAGTAACTTTTAATTACTACAAAAGGAATTCATCTGAAGGGTTAGCTGATGCTATATTTTTAAACCAGCATTTACTGAATACTGATTATGTTTGAGGCTGTGCACTAGGCACTTTTTTACATCCCTTATTTATTCACTCATTCTGCAAATATTTATTGAATCTCTAGTACTAGGGCCAGACTCTACTAGGAACTAAGTATACATTCATGAACAAAAACAACAAATATCTTTCCTTTAAGGAGCTTTTTTCTAGTTAGGGGAGCCAGATTATAAATGAAAGAATAAATAAATATATAAAATGCCAAATAAAAATAAGTGCACATTAAAAGCTATGGTGGGTAGGTGCTATGTATTGAGAGCATATATATTAGATAAAGTACATTAGAAAGGGCTTCACAGATAAGGTGACATTTTCCCAGATACTTGACTGAAGTGAGTGGGCGGGTCAGGAATAGTTAACAGTATATGCAAAGGCCCCGAGGCAGCAATATATTAGTTCCTAGCATGTTCTCATTCTAAAAAAAAGCAGGGAGGCAAGTCTAGGCGAAACCAATGAGGGAAGAAATGCATGTGAAGCAATGAGATATGAGAGAAAGAATTTAGGAAGGCAGATTATGTAGGGCCATAGGCCCTGGTGAGGACCTTGCATTTATTCTGGGTAAGATAGGAAACCACTAGAAGGTTTGAGCAGCCTTGACCTAAGCAGTTCTTGAGCACAGGGATTGGCTCCACTTCATCGTGTAAACCTTGAGGCTGTCTCAGTGACTGGCACAAGGTGTACAGGGTGAATATTTCTGGAAGGTAAAAATGAACTACTTCCAACAGCATCTCTTTGTAGAGGATGCAATGGGAAGAGTTATCAGGTAACCATTTGATTTCAGAACTGGATAATTAAAGAGAGAGAGGGAGATTATGAAGGATTGGTAATAACACATCTTCACTTGTATAGATTTTTCACAATTATTGTTTAAAGAGATAAATTAATGACTTAACTCTTATTTAAAGGGACAGAAGGGATGAATTCTTTAATATGGAAATAAAGCATTTGAGAATTGTAGCTGTTCTCTCAATCTGATTTGAAGAAGAATCATTATGTCAGTTTGAGCATCGTATTAGACATTCAAGGCATGTTTGCCTAGTGTGTGGTAAGATACAGCAAAATCGAAGTTTATAATAGCAGTTCTTCAAGACATGATTTACAAAAACCTCTTTAAGGATTCTGTGAGATCAAAAGTATTCTCATAACTATACTAAATCTTATTTGTTCTTTTTACTCTCATTCTCTGAGTGTACAGTAGACTGTGCCTGAGGTAAATAACATTCATATAATATTATATAACCCAATGATTAATGGGATGTTTGCTTGTATATTCTTGTTTAATTTTTTCACAGCATGAACTTCTAATACAGTAAACATTCATAGATATCATGCATACAAAAAGAGCTTTTGGGGATCATTATAATTTTTAATAATGTAAAGCAGTCCTGTGACCAAAAAGTTGAGAACTCCTGGCTTAGAACTCTGACTTGTAGTAAAACATAGATTAAAACCTCATTTCACTAATTTTCAGTTATTTACCTTTTCTTCGGCCTTCATTCTGGGAATAAGAATATATTTACCATGAGGTTGTGTTAAGATTTAAGAAGAAAGACATGCACAAGGACATGAGCTCAGTCCTGAGTACACATCAAGGCTTAATAAATGCTTTATCATCTGTCCGGTAAAGCTTGATAGCACCGTGACTTCCAAGAACCTTTTCTACTACCCTTGGAAAACTAGTTCTTTGCAGTACCTGATTCATCTCCAAGGAGAGGAGAGAGAGAGGAGATCCGGGTGGAGCACAGAGTCTTCATTCCTCTCCTTGAATCTAAGAGAATCGGATGATGCTGCCTCTGCTTCTGGAGGGCATGAGTTCAAAACCGCGCTGTTGGCTTGTGGTAAATCGAACATGAGACAGCGTGATGTCTCCCGCGCTGGTGGCCAGGCAGAACAGAAGGTTCATCAGCGTTTCACAGCAGGAGTGCAAAGGGTCTCTGTGCTTCTCAGCAATGGCTTGACAGGGAAAATCCCGCCCTGACAACAGCCCCACGTGGAGGGTGTGGAGGATCACCTGCTTTCATTTACAGAAGTTCTGGCTCTAGGGCTACTTGCATTCAACAGTAGTAGACAATAGAACTATTATGAACTCATAAGAGTAATCAGATTTACATTTCTACATACTTCCAATGAACACTTCCGTATGCCAGACCAATAACATCAGAGCTGAAGATCTCGGTGATACTGGAGCTAAAGCCCCTCGCTATAGAGATGCATGAAGAAAAGGGACCCAGAATAAAGTGACTTTCAAGATATACAAATAATGAAAGAACCAGGGTCTTATTAAAATTTTTGAAACATGATGTACAGAGTCGAGATTATCTATTTATCCAAACTGCAGATGGAGAACTGAGGACTTAGATTTAACTATTCCCAGAGTTACCTGCTGAATAATAGCACAGCCAGGTTCCAACCAGGTCATCTCAACGATTCAACTACTTTTCTGCAAAATACTCGTATATTCCTGGATCTCCCGATCCCACGAAAACAACTATGAGGATAATGATTCAGGAAACACTGGTAGTAGTACATGTCCTTCCTTCTCCCATCAGACGTTTAGTCTGCTCTACCCTTACATGCCCTGAGCTGTCTTGAGGTTACAGTGTTTCCTGTAAGAACTCCATTGTCCCTGGAGAATGGGTGTATCATTGGAGATGCTGATACTGCGAAAACTAGTCTTCCTTAGGCACACGCTGGTGACTCTGATCAAGGAGCACCACCGAAGGTCTACCTTTTTTCCTGCTGTGGTGGAATCCTCCCATACACATTCATTTGTGTTACACTTGTAAAAATTAAAATAGGAATGTCATTTGGCAGGTAATGCATTAACTTTAACATCATAAACTGGCTTTTCATATGAAGGTAGATTCCCTCATACTGAGGTCAGGGAAGAATAGGAAACCATGGAAAAGCTATCACAGTAAGCAGCTAGAGTGCATTGGGCATCAAGGGTTGTCTTAGTGCATGCAATTCCTTGATATCTGATCTTTTAGAGATTTCTTTGATTTCAAAGTACCAAAGCTGACTTTGGTTGTATCCTTGTCCACAGGT